TGGCACTAATTATGTCGCGAAATAATTAGGTTGTGGTCAGGTGTTCTGGGAGTCGGTGTTCATCTGGATGAGCGATCGAGGTACAATGATTTTGCCAGATTGCCATCGACCATTTCCAAGTCTCTGATGATGTTGGTTTGAGTGACAGATTGTTAATAACTTCTCTATCACAGCGACGTGCACTCATATGGATATAAACAACGCCTTTCGTGAAACACATTGAGCGAGACATTAACTAGTGTCACGAAGTACAGGAACGCCTGAAATTAATTTCTGCATTAATCTGTCGTATCCGCAGCGTCTACTGATGGTTGCCTGGAAGAAGTGTGTTGTTTAGACGTTTCAGACTGGGGGGTTCATAATTGCATGCGTTCACGGATGCAAACGGATCAAAGTCGGTACATCGAGAACAGTATTTGTCACGTGTAAACTGTCAACCAGTGCAGCAGATCGTCGATTCATCCAAAATAAGTCCTTTCCGCCTCAGGTGACGAAGTGAATCTCTTTGGTCATGTGGACAATGCGTCCGACCACATATTTGAAGGTCCGTGGTTCGAATCCCGTATCGGGGTCGATTGCAATTGTCCGACGTTATTTCTGTAAATTCATTTAGTTTCGATACACATTACCAGAGATTGTCTTGGTTTATTTTCTTTCAAAGGGGCGATTGGGTAGCCTTGTGGTTAAATCGTTCGCTTGTCACGTCGAAGACCCGAGTTCGATTCCCCATATGGTAATGTGTTAAGCTAATTTCTGTGAGTGAGTGAGTGAGTGAGTGAGTTTAGTTTTACGCCGCACTCAGCAATATTCCAGCAATATGGCGGCGGTCTGTAAATAATCGAGTCTGGACCAGGCAATCCAATGAACAACAGCATGATACCATTTCTGTGTCCCCCGCCTTGATATTGCTGCTGGAATATTGCTAAAAGCGGCACAAAACTCACTCACTATTGTCTTTCAGTCGGATCAGTTCTTGCTACTGCTAAAAACAGATCTGACTTTATCTCATTATTGGTCACGCCAGAACGATCTTTCATTCCACCAATTACAGCGTCGCTTATAGTCCGTTTGACTTCATTTGGGACCGATGAATTGCTCACTAACACAAAATCTAATACATGCAACAAAATCAAACTTTGCACAGCGAAAAGTGCTTTCACTTCACGTTTCACTTGTCACTTTTCGCTATTTGTTACGAGGGAGGACCACTTGCTGGTAGAACAGCCAGGTGTGCGAGTTGTACGTGTGAAATTGAAATTTCACTGCACACGCTTGTTGGTTATTTGGCTGTTCTACCATCAATTGGTCCTCCCTCGTAAGAAATAGCGAAAAGTGACAACAAAATAATGATCGTTTGTTAAACAACTTTTTTATTCGGGTGTCTAAAATTATGAGACAAATTTTATCAGAGTTGGTCTGTCGATTTCATGTGACTGTGCAAAGTTTGATTTTGTTGCATGTATTAGATTTTGTGTTAGTGAGCAATTCATCGGTCTCAAATGAGGTCAAACGGACTGTACCTGGTCAGGAAAGTTACACTCGGACCATCATGCGACTCTGGGATAGAGAAACAGGCAGAACAGACTGTTCGACTACATTCGTCACCATTCGTCTCATTCCGTAACCCGCATTCGGGTTGTCCCGAACTAGTTGGCCGGGAATGACTCCGTTGATATCGTCGTCAAGCTCTCGCTTCAAAGACGAAATATTTGACCGAAGTAGAGTTCACACAGCCCTTTGGAAGTACTGCAATAAAATCTCAGCCATCTTTAAGGCATTCCATTGGGCTCTTTTGTTCAATTTTCAAATTCTGAATCAGGAATTTTGTTATAATACTTTCCAAAGCGTAGTGAAAAGAGGTGCATGCTCGAAACCATGTATTGCTCGAGAAATCTGTTTTCTGCTTGACTAAAGTTTCCGTGTGGTTGTTCTGAATGAACAGAACAGAAATTCTGCTAACCTAACCTGAAGGTCATTTCATGACGACTTTTCGAAAACTTTAACCAGCAAGTGAAATTTCTTACATATAAAGTTCATGTATATCTGTATATTTATAGTGCGTTTGGCTCAAAAGCGGACCGATGAATTGCAATCTAACTAAAAACTAATAAACATATAATACTCAATGAAACGCTGATCATAATCAAAATATCAGACCAACTCTGTGATTTGTTTAGCAGAATTTATGTCCTAAAATTAAAAAAGTTGTTTAACAAACTATCATTAAAATATTGACACAGTTCACTATTTGTTACGAGGGAGGAGTGCAGAGAAAGGGACAGCCAGGTGTTTAGAGAAGCACGTGCACAAGTGCCGACAAAGTTATTGATTCATTAACCTGTACTGTGCCGTCTCCATCCTTTCGTCCTTTTCTCTGCACTCCTCCCTCGAAACAAATAGTGAACTGTGTCGATATCGTGTCTTGTACAGTTGTAAACCCGTTTCACCAGCTGGACCCCGTTTCACAAAGCTCTCGTAAGCCTAAAGTCTCGTAACTTTTCTCGTAGTATTCCTACCTTCTATACTGTAACATTGACTTGCGATAGTTAGTCGTAGCCCTGCACGAGCTTTGTGAAAGGGGGCCAAGATCCATAGCATATCTCAGCACAATATTGCTGTGTGTGGTCTCAGTGTGACTAAAACGCATCTAATAGAGAGATTAGATTTCATTTTCGTTCTTCAAGAATTTATTTGAATATATTGTCAATGCCGTCTTTATGAAGCTGGTCTCTTCAGATTGAACGCCTGATGATCCGGGTTAGAATTGATCTTCAGTAACCCATGCTTGTCGTAAGAGGCGACTAACGGGATCGGTGGTCAGACTCGCTGACTAGGTTGACACATGTCATTGTATCCCGATTGCGCAGATCGATGCTCATGCTGTTGATCACTGGATTGTCTGGTCCAGATTCAATTACTTAATGACCTACGCCATATAGCTGAAATATGTCTGAGTGCGACGTAAAATTAAACTGACTGACTCTCTCACTCTGCATTTTTTTATTGTTTGAAATTTTTATCCACATATTTTGTGCTATATATGTATGTTTTCATTATATCAGGTGTACAAAGTGGACTTTACATATATATTTTCCATTGTTTAGGGTCGGAGTAGGTAAACCAAATTCCAAAAAGTACCGTCTAAACGAATACAAGGTGCGTCTCTTTACGTTTACCACCCAACCCACCAATAATCGGATATCTCAGATGCAGATGAGGTAAACTCCACACACTGAATCGTTAGCCTTACAATATGATGAACACAAGCCACTTTAGGGTTGTCGTTCATTTTGTTGTTTGTATTGCGCGTCATATTTCGTTTCATTGTGTGCAGATGTGTGAAATCCATTTGTGGTGTCCCCCGCTGTGATATTGCTGGAATATTGCTGGAATATTGCTAAAGCGGTGTAAAACCATATTCACTCACTCACTCATTGTGTACAGGAGTGGTGGGGTAGCCCAATGGTTAAAGCATTCACTCGTTACGCCCCGGGTTCGACTCTCCGCATGGGTACAATGTATGAAGCCCATTTCTGTTGTCCCCCGCCATGACATTGCTGGGATATTGCTATAAGCGGCTTAAAACTAAACTCACTCACTCACTGTGTACATGATTTCCGTGTCAATGTTACACCAGACGTGTATGACAAGAGCATAGATGGATGTGTCAATGTTACACCAGACGTGTACGACAAGAGCCTGGATGGATGTGTCAATGTTACACCAGACGTGTACGACAAGAGCCTGGATGGATGTGTCAATGTTACACCAGACGTGTACGACAAGAGCCTGGATGGATGTGTCAATGTTACACCAGACGTGTACGACAAGAGCCTGGATGGATGTGTCAATGTTACACCAGACGTGTACGACAAGAGCCTGAATGGATGTGTCAGTGTTACACCAGACGTGTACGACAAGAGCCTGAATGGATGTGTCAATGTTACACAAGACGTGTACGACAAGAGCCTGAATGGATGTGTCAGTGTTACACCAGACGTGTGGATGTGCATCACAAGAGCCTGAGATGGATGTGTCAATGTTACACCAGACGTGTGTGTCACGACAAGAGCCTGAATGGATGTGTCAGTGTTACACCAGACGTGTACGACAAGAGCCTGGATGGATGTGTCAGTGTTACACCAGACGTGTATGACAAGAGCCTGGATGGATGTGTCAGTGTTACACCAGACGTGTACGACAAGAGCCTGGATGGATGTGTCAATGTTACACCAGACGTGTACGACAAGAGCCTGGATGGATGTGTCAGTGTTACACCAGACGTGTATGACAAGAGCCTGGATGGATGTGTCAGTGTTACACCAGACGTGTACGACAAGAGCCTGGATGGATGTGTCAATGTTACACCAGACGTGTACGACAAGAGCCTGAATGGATGTGTCAATGAACTGAATGTGGTTAGATCTCGTGTGTACAGTTCGATATCCCACAGATATATCATGTCCGCACAACAACCTACAACATTTATGGTTGTGTTATTTCAAATCCCGATCCAGGGAATTCCTCACACGACATGGAAGACTTCTAAATAATTAATTATCCGCAATGTTGTTTTAAAAAAGGTGTTTGTTTAGACAGTGTTGACCAATTTCCTGTTATTTATCTGGTTCAATCGAATATGTTGGAAATGACTTTTCTCAGGCAATGGTTGCGCATAAACAGTCGGACTAAAGAAAGTAAACCCTTCAATATTGGATTTGCCGTTACTGTTATGGAAACAGTCGTGGAAACGCTGTAAACGTAAGGACCCGTGAAGATCCGGGTTAGAATTGATTTTCAGTAACCCATGCTTGTTGTAAAATGCGACTGACGGGGTCGGGTGGTCAGGCTCGCTGACTTGGTTGACACATGTCACCGTATCCCAGTTGCATATATCGATGCTCATGCTGTTGATTACTGGATTGTCTGGTCCAGACTCGATTATTTACAGACCGCCGCCATATAGCTGGAATATTGCTGAGTGCGGCGTAAAACTAAACTCACTCTTCACTAACTCACTGTAAACGTAAGGTCGGAAGCACAACTGTGATACTATATCACATCTATTTCCATCGAACAATCACTTCTTGTTGGTTCCTTTTCAGCCACCATCAAACACGGCTGTATACTTTCCAAGGAAGACACGTGGAGATCCGGGGTAGAATAGGTCTTCAGCAACCCATGCTTGCCACAAAAGGCGACTATGCTTGTCGTAAGAGGCGACTAACGGGATCGGGTGATCAGGTTCGCTGACTTGGTTGACACATGTTATCGGTTCCCAATTGCGCAGATCCATGCTCATGCTGCTGATCACTGGATTGTCTGGTCTCGATTATTTACAGACCGCCGCCATATAGCTGGAATATTGCTGAGCGTAAAACTAAACTAACTCACTCAATCACTTTCCAAGGAATGATAACGCAATATGGATGGACAAGTTCTAGTGAGAGCGACGTTTCGGTGTAGGTTCTAACACTTGTCAAGCAAATGAGGAACAAAATAAGGATTGAGAGACATATATACAATTCTAATTCAACTTCGTATGAAACACGAGTTCTGACTGGTCAATGCTATAAATTTCCGACCGTACAATCAGCATATACGGTCGCAATTTTAAAACCGATTCACCAAAATCTTTGAATGTATCCCTACACTATTTGGGTAACGCTGTTTTCAGGGCATTATCATTTGCAGAAGCCCTAGGTATGTTAAATCCCCTATTCCGCTAAAATGGATGGAATTTGTGTTGAAAAAGACAAAACAGTATCATAAATTTAATTGTAAGTTTACTTCAAACAACTCGCAACGGTCTGCTCATTTCTGATAACTAGAGGGCGGTTTCATGACAATTTCGTCCATTTTAGCTTTAACACTATGATTTATTCATCATTGTCAGATTTAGTCAGTGTGCACATAATAAACGTGTTTAAGTTTGAAGAGTGAACTACTTTTTCTGGCGATTGTGTAAGTTCAAGGAGTGATATGATTAACCTTTGACCTAGAGTAACTTTGACCTGGCTTCAATAATGAATTTCTTTCACGAAAAAATGCGTAAAAAGAGTTGAATTAGAATAGGGATAACTGTACTATGTTTGGCGAATTGGGGACGTATACCGGTGGTTATATAGCCGCAGATTTAACGTTATATCGGCTCCGCTTACGCGTCCACCGGTGTACGTCCCCAATTCGTCAAACACAGTACAGTTATCCCCTAAGTGTGAGCTCCGTGGTGTAGTGGTTAGAGCGTCCGCCCGGAGAGCGGAAGGTCGCGGGTTCGATCCCCGACCGTGTCATACCAAAAGACGTTAAAATATGGTACTTGTTGGTCCCTGCCTGGCGCTCGGCATTAATGGGTACAACAAGGACTGGTCGGCTCGGAGTCAGTATAATGTGTCTGAGAGGGGTATTCATTCTTCGCTGCGGCATGGTATCTCAGTGGGCTAGCACTATAAAACCAGCTGGGCTGGGCTAGTACAAGCAGCCGCACATACACATACACACGCATGCACGTCGTCATATGCGCGAAATATTCTCAAGCACGACGTTAAACCCAATTTCACCTCACCTCACCTAAGTGTGAGGGGTGTTTCTACATGACAATAGGGTTATGGCTGCAATAGCATAGAGAAGCCAGTTAACAATAGCAACACATTGCTTAAGATACTAAGCGTTAACACTTGCAGCCAGCAGTGTAAACAAAGGGACAGTGAAGACTGTTTCGTCCATACATTGTTATCCTTCCCCACTGCTACAACTTCTAAATGCCTCTTATTATTTTTACATTCTGTAGCATGGCAGTCTACATCTTGCTCCAAAACTTATATTGTCTGCCCAGAAATATGAAATCATAGGCGGATCCAGAGGTGGGGTGCAGGGGTGCGCACCCGACTTTTGTCCTGAAAGTTTATTACATGACCCGTGAAAATGGGTGAAAATATAGTGTGCACCCCCAACCCCCCACCCCTTTTCTCAAGAGTGTGCCCTAACCCCACTTCCCACCCCCCTTTTTTCCCTCAAAAAGCTGTATCTGCTCCTGTGAAGGGATGGGAGGGAAATGTTACCAACGGGGTTTGTAAATTACCAAGTATAATCCCGGTACGATGACACCTAATCACCCACATTACCTGACCACCAGTCCATATAATCGCCCCGCCAAGATTTGGGACTTACTCCAGGTCCCACGTAGATAGTTCTAACAGGAGTCCTATTGCCGGTGATCTAATATGGCATATCAGTTTGAAACAGGTAACCTCTACAACGTTGAACATGGCGCGACGCGGCCCTGTCTGAGGCTGTCAACCACCTCCAATCCCCTCAATCCCAAAGAAGCATTAAAACTACAAGACTCGCTCAGATAGGATAAACCTTCGTCGCTATTTTGTAAATATATCAAAAGCAGTTTTGCGCACCTGTTATGTGACTGTGTTATTCATCGTGTATCAGTGTTCCAGGTGTCAAACATTGTATATGTGCATAATCACAAATGATATCATTTTGATTCTGGTGTCCCCCACATTGCTAAAAGTGGAGTAACAATAAACTCACTCACTCATTCCAAGGAATATTTTGGACTCTTTGTATTAAAAGAAATCCCAATAGCATATGTGATAAAATATAATAATGATTCAATTTCTGTTAAAGGAAGGGCTTTTCTGGGTTTGTTATTTTGCAGCAATATATATATACTTCTTACAGTGACGTCACAGATACTGTTGTTAGTGCACAGAGGTTCTGCATATTGCAGTGTGATTTACTTCATTACTGTATCAACATCAGGTTGTATCTATTAGAACCGGGACTAGGTCGGTCTTTGTTCCATTCATGATTTATATTGTCGGAGTGTATACAGAGTATATTTTATTGTGTCCGAGAGCGTATATCCCCGGTGGGGTATAATTGTAGATCCCTAATATCGATTTTCTTTCAATCAGCTAAGTAACAATGTTCTCAGCCTGAAAGATACATGTTAATTTCCTGTCTCCAGAGATTGTACAAAGGCCCTAAGATTTACATCACGTTCGTGTCCATTGACATCGAGGAAAGGAAAGGTATAATTATTGTAATGATTAGCGCTTTTGGCGCAGCTGCGTTAATTAAAGACAAACAGAAAACAACTGTGGAATATGTTGCAATCCGTCCAAGTGTCTAAATGCTCACTCTCGGGGACCCCACTTGCCCAGAAACCCCTCTTGCTTACATAAGGAGACCCAACTTGCCCAGAAACCCTCTTGCTTACACAAGGAGACCCCACTTGCCCAGACAAAAACCCTCTTGCTTACTCTCGGAGACCCCACTTACCCAGAAACCCCTCTTGCTTACACTCGGAGACCCCACCTACCCAGAAACCCCTCTTGCTTGCACTTGAAACCCTACTTACTTAGAAACCCCTCTTTTCGGGCAATCACTGTCTGGATTAAGCTATACTACAGATATGTCGATAGAGAAAAACAGAAAACAACTGTGGAATATGTTGCAATCCGTCCAGGTGTCTAAATGCTTACACTCGGAGACCCCAGTTGCCCAGAAAACCCTCTTGCTTACACAAGGAGACACCACTTACCCAGAAAACCCTCTTGCTTGCACTCGGAGACCCCTCTTGCTCAGAAACCCCTCATACTTACACGCGGAGACCCCACTTGCTCACAAACCCCTCTTGCATACACTCGGAGACCCCACTTCCTCATAAACCCCTCCTGCTGACGCTCGGAGACCCAGCTTCCTCAGAAACCCCTCATACTTACACTCGGAGACCCCACTTGCTCAGAAACCCCTCTTTTCGGACAATCACTGTTTCCATTAAGCTGTACTCGAGATATGTTGATAAAGACAAACTGAAAACAATTGTGGAATATGATGCAATCCGTCCAGGTGTCCAAATGCTTACACTCGGAGACCCCATTTGCCCAGAAACCCCTCTTGCTTACGCTCGGAGACCCCACTTCCCAAGAAATCCTCCTGTCTACACTCGGAGACCCCACTTTCCCAGAAACCCCTCTTGCTTACACTCGGAGACCCCACTTGTTTAGAAACTCGTCTAGCTTACACAAGGAGACCCCACTTGTTTAGAAACCCGTCTTGCTTACACAAGGAGACACCACTTGCCCAGAAACCCCTCATGCTTACACTCGGGTTCCCACTTGACCAGAAACCCTCTTGCATACACTCGGGTTGCCACTTGCCCGGAAACCCGTCTTGCTTACACTCGGAGACCCCACTTGACCAGAAAACCCTCTTGCATACACTCGGAGACCCCACTTGCCCCAAAACCCCTCTTGCTTACACTCGGAGACCCCACTTGCCCTGAAACCCTTCTTGCTTACACTCGGATACCCCACTTGACCAGAAACCCCTCTTGCATACACTCGGAGACCCCACGTGCCCCAAAACCCCTCTTGCTTACACTCGGAGACCCCACTTGCCCCCAAAACCCTCTTCCTTACACTCGGAGACCCCACTTGCCCAAAAACCCTCCTGCTTACACTCGGAGACCCCACTTGCCCCCAAAACCCTCTTGCTTACTCTCGAAGTCCCCACTTGCCCAGAAACCCCTCTCGCTTACACTCGGAGACCCCACTTGTTCAGAAACCCGTCTTGCTTACACAAGGAGACACCACTTGCCCAGAAACCCCTCATCCTTACACTCGGAGACCCCACTTGTTTAGAAACTCGTCTTGCTTACACAAGGAGACCCCACTTGTTTAGAAACCCGTCTTGCTTACACAAGGAGACACCACTTGCCCAGAAACCCCTCATGCTTACACTCGGGTTCCCACTTGACCAGAAAACCCTCTTGCATACACTCGGGTTGCCACTTGCCCGGAAACCCGTCTTGCTTACACTCGGAGACCCCACTTGACCAGAAAACCCTCTTGCATACACTCGGAGACCCCACTTGCCCCAAAACCCCTCTTGCTTACACTCGGAGACCCCACTTGCCCAAAAACCCTCTTGCTTACACTCGGAGACCCCACTTGCCCAAAAAACCCTCTTGCTTACACTCGGAGACACCA